TCTGTCTGGTCTTTATCTCCAGTTAGAAGAGATATGTATTTATTGTTCTGCTGTGGAGGGTATAAAGCAGTGCAGAAATTATGTGTTATAAGGCAACTTAAATCCATATTGAGCAAAGGAACCGTTGCTTCTAAATGTGCTGGGACAGGGCATATTTCTATTATACACATATGTTCACACACAGTCATCTGAACTGGAAGGCTTTCTGAGTTCATGAAGGAGGGAATACTATTCCCAAGGCATTAATTCAAAGGAGATCCTAAAAAACAAATCTAAGTTCCACAGAAACTTCACTGAGACAGGCTGTTGTAAAAGGATAGCTCACTTAAGCAATGCAATTCCCCATAACTGCCTTCAGTCTTGACTCAGATAGATCTTGAGAAGTTCATCCTTGCAGAACCACTTGTTACAGTACCTGCCATAGAATTAACTCTCTCATTTTGTCAATATAGCTATTTGGGAAGTTGTGCTGTAAACTGAACTGACTTTCGGTTAAAACTATCTAAAAATGGTTTCTCAATGACCAAGAATAATCCAACACTTCCTATTTGATAAGAAGATTCTTGATACAAAGATTCTTTCAGACATTGTTTTTTTTAGAAATTCACTAGATAGACCCTCTCAGTGTTCTATGGTATGACATTTTACGTAAGTTTTTGAAGTGTTTGGATGAAGAAAAATTCTGTATCTATATGAAATAATAAATTATCTAAGATTATTTACTTCAGATTCTACTGAGATAAATTAGGAGTCTTTGTGGTATCTTAGATTTTCCTATTAAAATTTGTTTTAATGATATGTAAAACTAAATTGTTTCCTTTCGATATTTGACCGCAGCTCTATACATCCATGGAAGACCCACTAAAGGATGATTCCATTAATTATAAATTTGGTTGATTTACTTATTTTTTGTATATTTCAGAAGACAAAATTATATTCCAAAATTGTCTGGGTCTGAAGTTGTCTTTCTTGACTGCGGGACTTCTGTCATTGTAGATTTTAGTCAGGTTATAGTTTGTCACATTCTTCAATCTTGTCAAGGACAAGAATAGCAGCCCTGGCTTCAAGTATATTGACTGCATCCTCCTCATGTCGCCTCACCTGCATTTTGACAGGTATGTTTTCTTTCTCCTCCTCCAGGGTGATACTGATTAATGAGGCTAAACAGAAAATAAGGAACTGATTTCTCTCAAGAGATTCTGACTTTTTTTTCTTCCAACTCTGGTAATTCCTCACTTTCTTGAACCCTGACTCTGGGAATAAAAGGATAAATACCCTGGATGGTGAAGAGTCAGGTTAAAGAACATCTGCTATTTCAGCCACTATTGTGATTGTGACTTATAGACCTGCCTCATCCAGTAGTATCCCCCATTTCCCTTATGTTCTTTATAATATTGTGGCCCCTGATTTCCTTTGCTAGTTTGTTACTTAAGACATGTGTTTCTTTATTCTTCATTCATAGCCAATTCTCATTTGCATCTCATATATGTATATATTTGCACATATATTCATACATATGTATATATGTATACACACACACACATATATATATAAAATATATATAATCTTTCTGAATAGGATCTCCCTTGAAGCTTGCCTGCTTAAGCAAGATTTTTCCTTACATCATCTTGTTTTCCTTTGTACAGGATAGACCTATACTCATTCTGCTTAGAGGAAGTTGTCCATAAAAGAACTGAGATTTTTTTCCCTTTAGAACTGCCTCCCCACAAGACGTAACCTAATTCTCCTATTAAGCCAAAATTTTTTTTTCCAGAAGTCTAAAGTACATACTTGTAGTAACCCATGAACTCTCCCCCCTCAGTCAATTCCTAATTCCTCAGCCCTGGCAACAGCAGTAACAACTTACCATAGAGTCAGTCTTCCTGGGGGGAAAAGCAGACTCCCAAATGGACTTCTATATCTACTTCCCCTGTGTAACTTTTCCTGGTTTCTCCTTTCCCTGTGCTCTCACTGGACAGGTCTCCCTGGTGGCCAGCCCACTATCCCTGGAGACCAAACCCTTCTGCCCAGCCCTTAGCTCTGCCCCACAACCCTTCCCCTTCTTAAGCTGCCTCCTTCTTGTGGTTGCCCTCTTTTACCTCACCAAGTTCCCTTCAGCTGTATGTGATATCCTTTGCTGGAATAAAACCCTTCAAAAAGAGCTTTTCTTGCATCTATCACTGAGCCAGCTGCGGTGAGTGTTGAGTATGTCAGGCAATGTCTGACTGCATTGCCTGAAGGTTGTCTCAACTTGCTTTTCTACAGGACAGGCTTGTTGGGGACAGATTATAGGCAGCAGCAACCACTACTCCAACACCTGCATTTTTACATACTCTGCTAATTTATTTTCTGATTTACAGGACCTTGAAATCCACAATTAGTGTGTCACTACCTTTAAAAGAAACCTATATTCTGTGGAGAGAGAAGACATTAAATACAGAAAACCATGCAGAAGATTTTAGCTTATCCAACTACATTTCCCTAGTAGCAAATGACATGTTCATCTCCAAGATAAATATTTCGAAATCAGACTCAATCTGAACACAAATTCACAGTCCATAAGGATACTCAGATTCACTTAGTAGCCAACCATGAAGATGAATGGAACTTGGATGATCACCTGAATTTTTTAATGATCTACAAGCTCATGTCCTCATCTGTGGAAGTTTAACACAGCTGGTCTGTTCCAATTTAATGGGGTATCTGCATTTTAAAATCTTGGAGCATGACTCAATGAGAAAAAGAGAATATATATGAGGTTTGCCTATAGGTCAAAAAATGAAAAAGTCTCTTACAACTGATGATAAGCGGTTCACTGAAAATTATAGAAGAAAATGTTATACATTCCTTAACTCTGTGCATTGGTTATGAAAAAGAAAGCAGAAATCATTGTATTTGAACCACTTCACACACGTGATGAGAAGAAATGATTTTCAGTCATACAAGTGGGATTTAGCATTGGGAAAAAGCTTATGGGTACCTGAAGTTCCACCAGAACCAATGAAAATCCGTCAAAGTTGTCATAAGATGTGGTATGTGGAGTCCTTCAGATGGCTATCATCATCTTGCAATCATCATCTTGGCCCTGAGTGGATGGCTAAAAGCCATACCCACATGCCTGAACTGAATATTTTAATTGCAGAGTGAATACCACAGAAGTAAATGTACTTTGTAGAAGTACTTACTAAGGAAAATGCACATTAATTGTGTAAGGAAAATGAAGGGAAATGTCTTCTGTTGTAAAGTGTCACGTCAGCGCACCTTCCCATTGCATATGTCAATACAGCTTCTGTTCTCTCTTCTCAGAGAAAAAGCTAACAAAAACCCCCAAACCAAACAAAAAAACACACAACCCCCCCAAACCCCACAAAAACAGCCCACTCCAAGCAAATTAGTGAGACACCTTTGTTAATTACAGATTAAACTGCCTCAGTTATCCACATGAAGGAATGAGAAAAAAATGTGACAAAAAGGCATCTTCATTCAAGGCAATCAAGAGAAAAGGGAGCAAGTATCATCTGTGTTTCAGCTCCTACTACATGGAGAATCACTCAGGATGGCACACTACTGAGACTGGTAAGGACTTTAGGCAGCTGTCTAGCCCACCTCATGATGCTCAAAGCAGGGACAACTATATCAGATAGCACAGAGCCATATCAAATCATGTTTGGAAAGCCTCCAAGGATATGGACTCTTGGAAAAGGTTGAGGTGTTTAGCCATCCTCATTTACTTAAATTTAAATGTCATTTCCTGGATCCAGTTTGTGCTCATTGCCACTTGTCCTGGATACCATTGAGAGGCATTGAGAGGCGCTTGTCCTGGATACCTGGGTACCGTTGAGAGGCATACGACTAAAATCTTCTTTACTCTCACATGAGGTACTTATACATAATTATAAAATCCCTGCCTAAGCTTTCTCTTCTCCAGACTGGATGCAGCTGGGATCCAGAGAGATCCCAGTTCTCTTACCCTCTTCTCACAGGAAAGATGTTTCAGTCAATTAATCATATTTGTGCCCTACACTGGACTTGCTTCAATAAGTCCATGGCTTTCCTGCAGTGGGTAGCGCAGAACTGGACACGATGCATTAGATGTGATCTCCCCAGTGCTGAGGAGAGAGGAGATATCATGTCCAATGACCTGCTGCTCTTCCTAACACAGCCCGGGATATTGTTGGATTTTTTTATCTCAAGGGCATGTTCCTGGTTCATATTTAACTTCTTGTTCACTCTCATCCCCTGGTCCTCTTCTGCAAAGTTGTTTTGCAGCCATTTGGCTCCCAGCCTGTACTGTTGCATGGGGTTATTTCTATACATTTCCTGTATTAAACTTCATGCACTTCCCATTTCTCCAGTCTGTCAAAATCCGTCCAAATGGCAGTGCAGACATTTGGTAAATCAGCCACTTCTCCAGGTTTTGTATCTTCTGCAAATTTGCTGAGGATGCACTCTGCTCCCTCATCCAAGTCATTAATGAAGATGTTAAAAAGTGTTGATACAGTATTGATCCTTGAGATACACCATTAGCAATTGGCCTCCATCTGGATTTCACTCTGCTGATCACAGCAGTTCAGTCAGTTTTCATTCCACATCACTGTTGATTTGTTTAGTTCATACTTCACCAGATTGCCAGGGAGGGTGTTATAAGAGACAGGATCAAAAGCCTTACTCATTTTGAATTACTGTTTGAAAAATCTAATTATTTAAATAGAAAAAGAAAATATTGCAATCAGAAATTCAAGAAATAAAAGGACTATTTTTTTAGTTCCATTTGCTCATCAGGGCATACTCTCTAAGTTCTGAAGGAAAATATCTGAGTGTAATGTACACATTACAGTGCACATGTAGACAATATTTTTGTTTTCTGTCCATCACATAGTACAAAAAAAATCCTGTGTTATTAAAGATCCATTTCATTAATGGGCAATAAAAAGAATAAATTCAATACCCATCTATTTGTCTCAGAAAAAAAGCTTACAGTAAAATGTGTATATTTCTGTTATCCTGGGAATAGCTAAAATTTTTATTAAGTAAGAAAAATTATGCATATAAAGAGAAAAGACATTTGTGACACTATAAAAAATTCAACATGCAATATGAAGAAACTATCTCACCTAGGACTTCTTTTCAGATTGACACACAAGAATGCAGTATCTCAGTTCTACTGATGGAAGACGTGCAATAAAAAAAGAAATTCTCATACAGAAAAGGTAAATAAAAATATAATATTGAAAAAATCTGAAGACTGTGATTTTAAGTAATAATTTCAAACAATTTTTCAAGGAAGACATCTTGAAAGATCCAAAAGTAGATTTTCACCTAGAAAAAATTAGTTAATACAATATCAATAGAGTAACTATAGTCAACATATAAGTCTCCAGGGTTTTTGTCTAGGATGTCCCAATATCTAAGATTTCCACTATCCCATCTGTCCATTACTAGTGCAAAGAAGAGCTTTTTGTATTTATCCAAAAGCAAATACATTAGAGTTGGGATTAATAAGCCTAAACAACAAATAATCAGATTATTAAACCTGACTATATGCAGATAAATGAGGAAAATTACTAAACATTATTTAAGTACATTCATTCGTATCAAGGAAGGTAACACCCTTTTCCAAGCTTATCCCTTTTCAGTTGTGGGTTGTAATATGTCTTATGATCACAGTAACTTATGACATTGCATGTGACATTGATAACTAGTATGCGAATTCCATTCAAAAATCACTGCATTTATGGGTCATCTTAATCACAGAATCACAGAACATGTTGACTTGAATGGGACCCACAAGGACCATCATGTTCAGCTCCTGTTCTGCACAGGAACATCCCCAAGAGTCACACTATGTGCTTGAGAGTATTATCCAAATGCTTGAACACCCTCCAGTCTTGGAGATGTGACCACCTCCTTTGTGTCTGACCTATGAGACAGTTGCACACCCAACACAGGATGTGTTTATCCAGCTATGTGTTGGATATTTTGTTCAGAAGGATTCTGTGAGACACAGTATTGAAAGCATTGCTGAAGTCCAAAAACATCCCATCAACAGGCTTCCCTTGATAACTGGATGGGATACCCTGCCTCTCATGAACTCATGCTGGCTGGGACCAGTGATTGCATTGTCTTTAAGGTGTTTTGCAATACTTGACAGAATAATCAGAATAATCCTCTCCATAACTTTGCCAAGCACAGAAGTGAAACTCACAGGCCATGTAGCTTCCAGGATTCTCCTTCTTGTTGTTTTTGAAAACCAGGACATTAGCCAGTTTCCAGTCAGCTGGGACCTTTCTGGGTTCCCAAGACCATGCACACAAAAAAAAAAAAAAAAATTGAGAGAGATTTTTTTTTGGATTCTTGAATGAATCCCATCAGGTCCCATATATTTGTAGAGATACAGGTGAAGCAAAAAATCCTTCACAATTTCAGGGTCAACTGGGAGCCTCGTATCTATTTTGTCTTACATATAGTTGCCTTTACCAGAATTAATATATTGATCATTTGGTATTTGCCTCCTTCCCATGCATCTGTAGCAATACTGGCACACATTTTTGAACTGATTATTATACATACTATTCTGTACAAACCCAGCTTGGGCAAATCAAACAATGTCCCTGTAGTAGTAGGGACCGGCGAACGGAAGATCACGGGATGTGACGGAAAGAGAGACCCTTCCCCCCTTCTCCCTGCCTCACGCTATCTACTAACCCCAAAGCATGTGACCACACCTGTCCCAGTAGTTTTCCACTCCCGACTAACCCTTGAGACCCCACAACCCCCCTCTGACGTAGCAAAGACCCCCAAGACTATTTAAACCCATGAGATGAGATAATAAAGGCTTTTCGATCGTCCACCACATTGGTGCCAGCGTCTTTGTCAATTAGCCCGAGTGGTCTGGACGGGCCGGACCGCCGTGCTGCCCCCGGAACCAGGTCGCCCGTTGTCTTTTATAAAGGCAACATGTCCCCTACTTTTGTTGCCTCCATCTGCATCAGCTTTACCAGTGTTATCCAGTGTTATCCAATGTTACCAAGCATTGCTCAGTAGCCCTCCAGCAGTGGGGTGCTTACCTGATACTTACCTTGACTTTATAAGTGGTCTGTCACAGGCCTAGAAAAAGATCTCGGACAAGGCCAAGAACAAGTTTGATTTTCTTATATTTGGAGAGGAAGTTGTAGAAAAATTAATTACATCTTAAAGCATGGCCAATAAGATTACAGTAAAATTACCTCTAATTAACTCTCTTTGAATGTGTGAGTTATTTACCACCAGTTGGAATGGCATTCAAAATAAATTCCTCTCTGCTTTCAAAAAAATTAAACAAGCATCAGCAGTAATAAATGCATTTCTAAACTTGTACCTATTCATGAAAGTCATGTTAATCAGTTTAAGATCAGAGACATTAACTTTTAGATAAATAAATGTGTCCCTACATGTCAAATAAGATCTCAAGTGCCCACCAAAGCTACCAAATATTTAACACATCTGATATAAATATATACATAAAGCAAATTTCACCCCTGCATTATATATGTGGTTTAAAACATTCATTAAACCCTTCTTCTTTTTTTTCCCCTCATCAGCTAGTCAATTTTCTAAGTTGCAAATCAGCCAACATTCCAATTCAAAATTCCTTGAAGCTAGGTGCTATGTGAGACCAAGGATACCAACAAGGCAAGACCATCAGTTGCTGTGTATTTTCATAGCAATTGAAGGGACCCAGAACCTCCTGTAGGCCAATCAAGCACAACAAACTGATAATCTCCCTGGCACGTTCCACTGCAAGTTGAACTCTTTTTGAGAAAGTGTAATAGAAAACAAAAAACCTGTTCTTCACAATAATTGAAAAAACATATTTAATTAATTCAACTTTTATTTACTGCCATTTCTGGAAGAAAATTTAATTGTATTGGTTAGCAGCCTGTTGCAGCAACAAGGCACTACAAAAAAATAATTACATAAGCACCAACAGAATTTTGGACTGTACCCAGGGTTTAATACATTGCCTATCCCTAACCTCTCTCACTTAAGCAAGCCATCCTTTCAGTTTTCCTTGTTTAGTCTTTGCACATTTTTTTGTTTTTTTTAGTGGCCCAGTACCAAACAACAGAGAAAATGGTGAAACTTTTCCCCTTAGCATCTCTCCCAGGCTGGGGGTTTCTGATTGTGCTGGGGATCTGGAAACTCTGGTCCCGACTTCCTCAGCCTAAATGTAATAAATGTGTGCTTTTCGTTTCCTCAATTGAGTGTTCAGGTCACAAGGTCAACCCCTAATCACAACTCTGTCTCTTCTCTCATTCTAAATGAAGAGCAGTCAGAGTCATACACTAGACAGACAGCTTGGGCACTCAAATCTAGAACTGACATTCCAGTCAAGAATCCAGCCCTGAAGAAAGACTTTTATTGCCAAATGTGGGTTGGAGCTTACTTTAGCAACAATGCTTTTGTGTTACTTGTTGGCTGACGTGAGCAACCCAACTTCATGTGCTCATAGTCATACCTCTGATTTGAAAAGTTAAAGTAACAATTGCTATTATTCTAAATTGATGGTTTTCATATTTCATGCATTCCAATGTTGATATATTTTACAAAATGGAAAAACAGAGGCTCTGAGTTCATCTTTATATATAGTTCATATATAGTTCATCTTTATAACAATGTGGCTGATTATATAAAGCACAAAAAAAATCTTAGTCCCAAACCATCTTTTTCAATGAGTTGCATCATGATCCTTTGCATATCACTTAACACCTGAGACCAAATTTCTTTACTGATGAAGTGGAAATTGCTATATTTGCACGCTAAACCACAAGCACTGTGAGTAGTTTTGTTTGGAACACCCTTGTACTGTGCAGCATTTTAAAAAAATTAACATTTTTTTGAGAAGATGATTTGCAAAAAAAAAAAAAAAGCAAATTTGGTGAAAGAGAAGAGAAGAACAGACTGATTATTAAAGGAACTAGAGGCAAAATCCTCTGTTTGCCTGATTCAACATGTTTTAGCAGGAGAAAATCTGTTTTGGTTCACATAGAACAATGTAATTGAAGCTGGATTTCCCCTTTTCCAGGCCACTTCCCTAATCACATCCACATGTTTTGATACATAAACATTTATTCTGATAATTCCTTTTCTGCTGAAGTGTTCCAAAAGGTTTTGGTCTTGTTCCATGGTGGAATAAAAACAAATGTTATAGTTTCTATGGAATGGAATTGCTCTGTGACACACAGCATAATACATGTTAACAAAGTATATTATATATAAACATTAGCTAAGGGTGCTTGTGTACTACAGTGTTTGGGTGTGCTACATAGCTGTAAAAAACAATTTAGATCAAAATATAAGTTGTAGACACTAGCTTGATTTGTATGCTACTCAGTAGACATATCAATTTTCACTGGTGTTCTCTGGCAAATATAATGACAAGCAGGATTCAAAGAATCTTGTCCATGAATTAGATCATTAGTGTACTAAACAAACATCAGCTAGGTACATCTGTACCAGGATATACCTGAATAGGAAATTTTTCCAGAATAATGAAACATTGCTATTGTTAAGTCTGGTAATGGATTATGGTATTGGAAAATGGCAAAAAGGAGGAAGTATGAAGATATGTGGTTGTTGTCCCATCGTTGTCATGATTTATGTCTCCACCTACAAGACCAGTCCAGGAAAAGCAGGAAAATTTTCAAACATTTTGGAGGAATAGTTAAGATGTTCACATAGTTAAACAGAAATACATTTCAGAGTGTCCTGGTTTTAGGTCCCAGTGATGTTTTTTTCTAGTCCCTGCTGCCTCAAATTATTCTGCTTTCTTCAATGCCGTTTTGCCCCATGTAGCAGTTTTTTTCAATTCTGGATGCATTCTCTTTCAGGTTTTCTGCAGAAAATCTTGGTCTCCACTCACATACAGGGTTGTATGTGATCTCAGTACAAAGAGTGCATGGAGAACTGGAACTTAGCAAGGGCAGACAGAGCATTTCTGGATGTGTCTGTGATGAACTGTAATATTTTGTTATAATGACAGCTCCTGTCAAAGCTTGCAGTAAAGTAGGTCTCATTCAACTATCTCCATGAGGCCCTACTCTGAGACAAGGTGACAGTCTGGTGCAAAAAAACAAAAAAAAGCCTTTAAAGGAAATTAAATGAGTTGTAACATTTGTGCATATGAAATATCTAATGACAGAGTAAGAAAAATTACAACATATATACAAGATTCATTAGTATTTAAAGAATAAGAGAATTACCTAGCCACTTATAAGTACAAGTGTGGTCATATGAACTTGCATTCTCTTATAAGAAAGTATTTTCTTTTACTTTTAGGGCTTTGTGAAAACCATAGTTTAAACCACCTTTAAATTTGTCTTTGAATAAATAAAATATTTTCTTTTGTGTCACATCTGTGTTCTTAAAGTTGCTTTCTTCTAGAGGAAAACCATTATTATTGAGAAGTAATGTTCTTGTACATTAAACTATATATCACACACTCAACAGCTCAGTGCATAAAATCTTAATCTTAGTAAAGACAGTTAAACAAATCTCTATTTTGCCTATATATGCTGCAATTTTTACTGTAGTCTAACATAAAAACTGGACCTTCTTGAGAGCAGAGGGAAGAGAATGGAAATTGGAAAATTAGAAATAGTAAAGAGAGGAAGTTTTGTATTTTTGTAATAAGTACCCTACATTACTATTGAATTTTTTTTTAAATTCTAAAAATCCAGTTTATAAGGACATATTTGATTAAAAAAAAAGAATTTTTATAAGTTCCTACATTCTTCTTGAAATAAAAAAGATGTATGAATATAACAAATTACTGTCCAGGAAATTATCTGTTTTTTTCCTGTAGACTTTTTAGTTCTTAGTAAACCACCACCCTGAATTTATAAATGTGAATGAGAAACAGACCAGAATCATTGAAAACTGGACTGAAATACATTCATATCTATTTTTTCCACTGACCTAAGCATGATTAAGACACAAGCATATACATTTATTTTCCCTTCCTGTTGGTAACCATTAATATCCTATAGGTTCTGAACAGATAATCAGTAACTGAAATGGAACATCTACATCTGTCACTGAAAATTATCACCTGTAATTACAGAAAAAGCTTCTAAAATAGATGTTATTCTCTTCATTCTCCTCAATGTGAATGGTCAAGTGCTGTACCCATAAAGTCACACTGAATTTGAACAAGAATGTGCTTGTAAACTGTGACTATCAGACCAAGTCTGGAGGGTTTGTGTTTGGCACCCTTGAAACAGAAAGTTTAGAGGCAGCCTAGAAAATATGGGAGGACTCGTCTTTTTGTCTGCTTTGAATTAGG